GCCATGAATTAATGCATCAATCGATACATACACAATCTGTGGGTGTGCTGATAACAATCACTTGGCATGATTCAAGTTCGCTCTTCTTGTTCCGATGCCAGCATTTGATCAGCAGCAGATGGATCATGACCATGGAGTAGAGGAAGACGATGGCGGTGATGATCACGTTGTACCAATGATGCCCCGCGTCCTATACATGTGCGGCCGAGATCACGAAGAATGCAGACATGCTCAAACTAACCAGCACGTGCTGCAGAATTAACAAATTGATGGAAGTACAAACTCACATGAGAACATTCATTAATAAATTATTAGCCTTGGCACGTAATGTAAATAACACCATGGTATAGCTAGCGCATGTACGCACCCGAACAACACTGTCGCCGCCGTCGTCATCAAGGTGCGCCGCCGTCGACGGCTGCCCTCTGCCATTCGTGGCCTCCGTTGAACTGCTGCTCAGCGGCTCGTATAAGCTTTTCTTCGTCATGGTAACTAACAAACTCTTCCTGCGGGGAATCGAGGAGGGGGAGTAGCTAGGTCGTGGTCGTGACAACCTCTTATATATAACTCTGGCGATGTTGCGCCGGATCGAAACTCAAAGTCGTCACTGGTTATGAGTCTATCTTGAGTTGCTAACAAACTCTTGTCTCTTGTTTGTTTAGAGAACCAAACTCTTATCTCCGATGCTAGACTTTGACCGCGTACGTACGACCATCTTTCTGGTGTGGCTGATAGCAGCCCAGTTTACAAGCAAAAGTTCAAAGCCCGGTGGTTGGCTGAGGTTACAGTTGAAGAGATCGCTAAAACGGCCTGGCAAAAGGCTAATCATCGGGGCTTGTGTAATCTATCTATTATTATATATAAAAAGTATTTGACCGGTTAATTAGAAAAGGTTAATTATGTAAGAAATTACCACAAAACTTAGAAAGATCCAACCGTTATTTCTTTTTTTTTTGAACTGATCCAACCGTTATTTCAATAGACTAAAAAACAGCAGCCATTAGATAATATTTAAGTGGAAAAAATTAGAGTATTTGATGGGTTAACCAGAATTAGATATTACTAGCACATATGCCCGTGCGTTGCAACGGGAGAAAAAAATCTTGCATGCCCTTAACTCAATAACCATATCTCAAGACTTCCAAATGTGACGTCATATATTTCAACACGGCACCACACCCCTGCCGCCTCTTATGCTTCTTCCGCCCTTATTGATAGTTGCCGCATTGTCCACTTGGTCATACCACGTCCGAAAGTTGTCAATCTTGGGGCGATCAACTTGGCCACTGCACGACACACCTGTCATTGAAGTGTACCAATGCAAGGGGACGTTTAAAATTTTAGAAACTATAATCTCATCAAGTTGGCGTAAGGGCCGCCCTGCGCAATCTACTCCTCGCACCTGGTCCATGGATCATCCCACATAAGGATTGACAACAATTAGTAGCGGGGAAACACTACCAAACACTTCCATACTTTTTTGGGATATATAAGACATGCACCTTCTATGAAGACAATTTATTTTGTATATACCTAAAGACAATTGTCTTGTTTTCTACTTGCATGTATAAATCTTCGCCATATACTTCACAGGCGATCTAGGTATATATGCTTCCCGCGTGTGTGCTAACCTATGTACATAATGTTAGTCCAGCAGTGTGCAATCCTATTTGGACTATGGATGGTGTTCACTTCGTTTCTAACTTTATGTCGTAGTAGTTATTACCATGCTTCCCGCGAGTGTGCTAACACGTGTAAATATGTTAGTCCAAAATGTCATATCCAATTTGGACTATGGATGGTGTTCGTTTCCTCTCCGGCTTTTATGTCGACTAGTAGTTAGTACCACTCTACCAGTCTGTGAAGGACACAAACAAACACCAATTCCAACTTCAGTTAACAACGATCATCGGCAAAACCTCTTCATGTTTAGTTATTTTCCAAGTCAATTAAAAAAAGATCAACACCACTCACGCTTTTCTATCTTGAGCCTTTCAACCTGGCACGTACGTGCATGGCAAGTTTGAATTATTCACATCCTCTTCTCTTAGTCTCTCCAGCTATTTTTCATCCATTGATCAGGGCAACACAGGCAACGTGAATCAACATGCATATCCACCGTCCTTCGTTAGCCTCTCTTCCTTCTATGAGCTCTTCTCTGTCATAATCCTCTTCCTGATACCGAAGGAACTGAGAGACGTATATAAGTTGGGTATATTGTATGTAAGGGGGCGAGGTGGGATAATTTAACAACGCAATCAACTTTGATTCGTACACACAACAGGGGCTAGTTCAGTGGCCACAACATTGTTTGCTATCCTGGAGGTTGTGAGTTCGATACCTTCACCAGCAAATAAAATAGGATTGTGGGTCCAATTGTCAACAACTTCAGGGATTTTTTTGCAAAAACGCCGCGACGGTGAATCCGACAAAATCAATCCGTGCTTTATTATTAGAGAAAGATTTACGTGAAAAAAATTACAGTATTTGACGGGTTAACCAGAAAAGGTTAATTATGCTAGAAATTACCACAAAAATTAGAAAGATCCAACCGTTAATTCAATAGACTAAAAAACGGCAGCCATTAGATAATATTTAAGTGGACAAAATCAATCCGTGCTTTATTATTAGAGAAAGATTTACGTGAAAAAAATTACAGTATTTGACGGGTTAACCAGAAAAGGTTAATTATGCTAGAAATTACCACAAAAATTAGAAAGATCCAACCGTTAATTCAATAGACTAAAAAACGGCAGCCATTAGATAATATTTAAGTGGAAAAAATTACCCACCTTTGCCATTAGATAATAATTCTATTAAAATTAAAAATGGGGCAAACTTTATTTCACATATATCTACGCGAGTTTCGTGTGGGTAATCAATATGCAGATATTGACCATGATATATAAAACAACAATAGAGAATAGTGCTGTCCTTTTCTCTTCTTCTAATTATAAACTAATCGGTTGATTTACTGAATGTACCCTCACTATAGTCGCCAAAATCATCAGTTCGCCATTAGTTGTTTTGTATAATGTGTGTGAGTGGCCTCCAACAGGATGTGTAGTATCTGTCTCAAGTATTGTATATTCAACAGGCTGGCGTCATTCGTATCGGCCTACATGTGCATAGAATACAAGGAAAGTCAGCACTAGCAGATCAAAACTCAGGTAGCAGATCAAAACTTTGTATTTTGCCAAGTTCATTTAGTCGGGATCTCGTCAAACTTATGTATCTACTGAGTTTGGTCCAAACTTGCACTCGGCATTGAGATGAAACTTGGCAAACTTGATATTTTGCCTAGTACCCGCGAAACAAGACTGGGAGAATGGAAGAAACTCGACAGTCTCTCAAGTTCACCGAATTTAAAGTCTGGCAGGTAGGCCCCACGGAGGAGCCGACGACTGCGATTAATCATACAAAGGTGGGCCAGTGCCAAAGGTGTTGGTCCGAAAATTAGAGCCACTTGCGACGCCACCACACGAAACTCTAGTTTGGCTTGCCGTAAGTCTAGCTCATCCATCAGGTCTGGAATCTATAGATATGCTGGCTCTACTCCAGGGTCGACTCCACCGGCGACCTTACTGGACTAGATTTACATTAGCTACAGGACTTGTTACTTCTAAACTCCTGGGACGCATCAAGTTTACATGTTAATGAGGTTTCGGGGTATGCATACGAAACTTATAATGGGGGGCTGGACGCACCTCTGCATGGTTAAATCTTTCGGAAAGTGTCCATGGTTACAAAGCGACTTGGAAATTTATAATGTCTGGCATAGAACAACTTCAACTAATAACTAATATTTGCTCAATCGTGTATGTAACATTGAGTGTCTCTTTTGGGGGGAATGCGAGCAAGACGAGGACACAGTGGGGTTAGCAATGACTCGTAAGCAGGTGTTTAGGATCACTTGTTGATCAAATAGTTGCGCCCCCTTGTGCTTAGGAATTATCTTATCTTGTTCTAGTATTCGTAGGACTAGTTGGCCTACATTACTTAGCTGCTTGCTGCAACCTCACCATTTAACCATATCCTGCCCATAAGTGATCTAGTCTTACTACCCTTTGTAATGTTATTGTTGAGTCTCAGTGACTCACCGATACCAGAACAACAATAGGTGCAGGTGCGGGTAAAGTTTTTCTCTAAGGCGAGAGCATGAACGTTCTACGTGGAGTTCTTTTCATTCTTGTTCGATGATGATCATTAGGATGGTATCTTGGTTGGGATCCTAGGAATAGCAGGATGGATGTTGCTTCTTTCTCTTGCCTCCTAGGCATATTTTCTTATTGTCCTTACTCGGACCCGTGCCTTACTAGGAAAGCTTGGGTGAGCCAATGTGGTCAAAAGCGAGCTTGGGAGCGGTTCAGACGCCCGCCAAGCCCTCATGTTTGTCTTCGGTTTGCGGAAGAAAGTAAATTCAGACCGCAGCAGAGACCCATACAAACACGCGTTGTATGTCTTTCACAGACTGAACAGCACAGTCCGCATGTATGCGGGGGTTTGAGGGTCGCGTGACAAGTTATGCTCCAGCATGTTTGGCAACTAATTAAGCCCTCTACCCGTCTACCTTTGCCTCCATTGCTTTGCATTAAACTAATTTGGTCAAATGTGGGTACTACATTTTGATTTCGATCAACATCGTGAATGTCGTGCAGTGATACTACATGTTATTATGAAACATCTATTATCGGCTGCCGCAGTTGATTTCTTTTTCTTATCCTGCGAGTCCGTATAGTGAGAGCATATTCACCTAGGATATCCCATCCCGTCCCGTCCCATCCCGTGTACGTACGGCCTTCCAAATAGCGACTAGTCAACTTTTCCGTACAAAAAGAATAAAAACTGGTCAATGGGATTACGTACACACTACACATACTCCCCTCCCCTCCCCTGTTTTCGTTCTTTCGCTGGTTCTTCCACCCCCCTCGACCGCGCGCCATTGCCGGCAGAGCAAGAAACTCAGTTGGAAGGATCGATCAACCGATATAGCTGGGTACATGGAGGAAGCAGCAGCCGGCTCCGGCGAGGAGGAGGTGTACTGCGCGGTGGGGAAGGAGCAGTGGAACTGGAAGGCGAACCTGCGGTGGGTGCTGGCCAACTTCCCCGGCCGCCGCCTCGTGCTCGCCCACGTCCACCGCCCGCCGCACCGCATCAACATGAGTAAGCCTGCTTAACTACTTCTCTGCTTAATTATCTCCCAAACACTCTCTGATCCGGCGGGATGGACGACGAGCTGTAGTGGGGGCGTGGGTGCCGGTGAGCCAGGTGGGGGCGGCCATGGTGGCCGCGTGCAGGAAGTGGGAGGAGGACGAGGCCAGCGAGGCCCTCGACCAGCTCGTCCGCATGTGCAAGATCCAGCGGGTTCGTTCCTGAATCCTATCCTTGGTTTGTTCACTAGTCGTTGTCATCAGCAGCAAATTATTGCTGGCTCAACTCATTGAACTATCGAGTGCAATAATTACAGGTCCACGCGCGCAAGGTCATCGTGTCCGGCGACGACCTGGCGGGCGGCCTGGTGCAGCTCGTCGCCGACCATGCCGTCGCCGAGCTCGTCATGGGCGCCGCCGCCGACCGGGCCTACTCGAGGTATGTATGTGCGGTTACCGAGGGCTCAGACGTCACAGTCGGCCTGCCTCTTGCCTGTGGACAATGTGATGGATGCTACGTTGTTGTCAGGAAGATGCGGGCGCCCAAGTCCAAGAAGGCGGCGACCGTGCAGCTCAAGGCCAACCCCTCTTGCAGGATCTGGTACGTCTGCAAAGGCAAGCTCATCTGCACGAGGTATATCACATTCTCCATGGATGTTGTGCCGTCCATTTATCCGATGATGCTGATTGTTGACACGTACAGAGAGGCCAGTGAAGAGGGGCTGGTAAGCAGAGGAGAGCCATCCACGGCGAGCACCAGCCCACGCCCAACCGCCTCCGACTGCTCGACATCGGCATCCTCGTCGCACCGCCACGGCGATGGCGCCGCCGAGCGGCTCGGCATCCATGACTCGACCACGCCCTCACAACACCATGACTCGGTACGTGCAAGAACAATGTGGCGAGAGTTGATAGGGGTCGGGATCATCCATTGTGTCGGTACGATAAATAGTCTCTGGGTGGTGAACCGTGCGTTCGATATGACAATGTCAGGGTGACGCCGGCGAGATGGACGATGCGTTGGCGGAGAAGCTCAAGGCCGAAGGGACTCGCCGGGCACCTGTAGCTGCGGTGGAATCTGTGCCCGTGACAGATGGTGATCAAGCTGTAGGTGTCTTGCGGTTCGGTTTGCCGGAGCTGGAGGAGGCGACAGGCCGTTTCGACGAGTCCTCCAGGATCGGCAGTGCCGGCATTGGCCGCGCCGGCGTGTACAGAGGGAGCCTGCGCGGCATGAACGTCGCCGTCAGGGTCATCTCCCCCGATGCCGCCGTCGGCGAGGCGCGGTTCGCTCGCGAGGCGGACGCCATCAGCCGGGTGAGGCACCCAGGCCTCGTGGCGCTCATCGGCGCGTGCCCGGAGGCGCGCGCCGTGGTGCACGAGCTCGTGCCGGGCGGTAGCCTGGAGGACCGCCTAGCTCAAGGAGGCGACGGGACGCCGCCGCTGCCGTGGAGAGCGCGGTGCGCTGTGGCGTACCAGGTATGCTCTGTTCTGGCATTCCTTCACTCGTCAGCGAAGACAGTGCACGGCGACGTCCGCCCGGCGACCATCCTCCTGCTCGACGACGACGAGGAGGAGCACCTCCTCACCGGCAGCAAGCTCGCCGGCCTCGGCATGCGTGGGCTCGTGTCGGAGCAGCGGCGGGCCGGCCGCGAAGCGCTGGCGTACGTGGACCCGCGGTACCTCGCGACTGGGGAGCCGACCCCGCAGTGGGACGTGCACGCCCTGGGCCTGGTGCTCCTCCGGCTGGTCGCGGGCATGACAGCGCGCGCGGCAAAGAAGGCGGCTCGGGAGGCCGCCGCCGACGGGCGCAGGGGCTGGAGCGAGGTGGTGGCCGCGAGCGCGGGAGGGTGGCCGTTGGAGCTGGCCACCGAGGTCGCGCTCCTCGGCCTGCGATGCTGCGCCGTGAGCGACGGCCGAGAGCCGTGTCGCCCGGCCGGTGAGCTGCTCGAGGAGGCGCTTACCGTGCTGAAGGCAGCGATGGACGCCGCACCGGGCAGGACGTGGACGTCATCACTGTTATCGTCGTCGGAGACGGGGGCGTCCCACGGCGGCGGATCAGAGTGCCACCAGCAGCAGCAGCGGGTCCACAAGGTAGTTGATGCAGCGGCACAATGATTTTTTAGTCGTCGGAGTCAAATACTCCATGTAATTTACGAGTGTGGAAAACATTCATTGTTTGGAGACGGGAATGGGAAAATATCTATCTAAGCTCATGTGCTGCCGTGCGAGCTCGCCCGTTGGATCTCAGATCCAAGGGCTCTGCCAACCGTTGAGGTGGTGATGTCGCTCTGCGTGGCATTGAGCCGGCGATGTACGATTCCACTCCTCTCAGTTAGACTGTCACAAGCAAGTGCAAAATGGACCTTTTTTTGCCAAACGTTGTAAATATAAGGTCATCTCCAATGTTGACCCGCAAATTTGCTCCGGCGTCTGTCAACATATAGGGGACCAGTTCATGGACATTGATATTGAAGGCCGCCATACAACATTGTCCGCATGCATTTCATGCCGCATTTGAACTAACCAGATGAAATTCATGCGAACCGGCCGATATTCATCAAATTTCAGTTAGAAAATAGGAGGAATCATCTATACATAGCATGCAAATAAGTCTAGTACAGGAATGCCTCAAATTTGACGAGATTAACCAAATGTCCAACAAGTTTTTCATCAATGTATCATGTTGTCCTACACATACTGCTCCTTCAGCTTCATTCAACAGTGTGTGTGTATATAAATGACCGCCCCTCTGTCATGTGGTACATCACGATAGCACATGCGGGCTACATAATGTGTAGACCAATATTGAGTGAATGAATGATTTAAACAAGTTGAGCAAGAGGCAAAACTTACGATCTCCTCATCTACCGCGTGCAATTGCCACCTTGCCTCCAACTGACCAACCACATGACAAAACTTGGTGATGCTGGTCTGCATAGGTACCAGCGATACAATAACGACATCACATTGCGTTCTTGAATAATGTGCATGTCCTAGGGCGCAATGTGTTTCAGTGTGTGAAACGATTCATGTAGTTGCTGGCAGAAGGTCCCCCCCCCCTCCCTCCTCTGCTCCCGCCTAAGAAATATACGGATACGGCCAACCATGCATTGCACAACATCTCATCCTCCATGGCCGAGTATCCCACCATCCTTCGTACTCTTAAAAAACGACATGGCATCCAAAATTAAGCTAAATGACATTTGATCGAACACCTGTCGGGCGTGGTGTCCTTCATGGAGATCATCGACAGAGGGGCGGAGTGTTCCTAGGTACAAACAACTCCAAGGTGGACAGCACCGTCATAATGGTGAGTGGGCGTCTGTGCTAGTCTGGACGTTCGGCAATGTAGTCGGTCTATGTTAAGAGAAAGTTTGAACATTTGAGATATGTCAATGTGTCTTTAATCTGGTGAGAGAATGGCATGAAATGTGCCTATTTTGGAAATTTTAGTCCGTACGTAGTTTTCTATTTGGGTTTTAATTTATATTAATGCTTACTAGCAAAAGGGTCCGTGCGTTGCAATGAAAGGAAAAATCATAATCTTCAACAGTCATGACAACATTTTGCTGCATCACCGATAACATTTTGACAAACATTTTGTTCAATTTCATTAATATTTTTAGTACACAAATTCTTTTTTAAGAAACATGAATATTTTTATGAAACCATGAACAATTTCAAATTCACGAACATTTTTTCAATTATTGCGAACATTGTTTTTTAATGTTCTGAACATTGTTATGAATTGCCGAACATTTTTTGAGTCAACAAAGATTTTTTGAAATTTTCAAATTTGCGAACATATTTTTAATTATTGCGATCATTGTTTTGAAACTTTTGAACATTGTTATGAATCGCCGAACATTTTTTGATTCAATGAAGATTTTTCGAATGCATGCAATTTTTATAAAACTTGTGAAAATTTTGTTTAAATCGGCGAAAATTCTTAGAATAGCTGCTCAAATTTTGAAATGATTAATTTTTTTAAAATTCATGAATATTTTTTGTTTAATGATTTTTTTAAATGCATGAACCTTTTTTAATTTCTTGTTCATGTTTTTAATGTTTTCGAAATTTTGTTAACATTTTCAAAACTTGTTCACGTTTTAAAAATTGTTCATTTTTTCCAATTCCATTCACTTTTTCAAAAGTTGTGTTTTATAATTTTGTTCATTTTCGATCACTTTTTCAGAAAAGCAATTGATGTTTTTAATATTTTTCTAGAATTTCAAAACTTGATCACAATTTCTTTACTGTTTGCAATTTTTTCGTATTTGTTTTTCCAGTTTCCAAAAATTGTTGAAAATTTTCTTTTTTTTAATCTGCCGCTGCATTTGGTTTATAAATGTTCGCGCTGTGCATTAATTGCTTATTGGCAGTAGCCCAAGTGGTAAGCATCATTGTGTGTCCATCAAGGTGTTGTGAGTTCGATTCCTAAAGGAGCACATTTTTTTGGAATTTTCGGCTCGTATTGTGCCAGTGAATGGATCGGCCCATTAAGATTGTGGCCTGCGCTCTGGTTGTTTGATGGGCCAGACGTTTTTCATGGTGGGGACCGGCCCATTAAGATTGTGGCCTGTGCTCTAGTTGTTTGATGGGCCAGACGTTTTTCGTGGTGGGCCTGAAGCTAACTCGTCTCAGGCGAGTGACGAACTAATGGGAGCAACTAGTTAACGAGCGCTACTCAGACGGACTGGAAGCGGCTTTGGAAAACGACGGTCCCTGCTAAAATCAGGGTCTTTTTGTGGAGACTCGTCAATCTATCCCAACGGAAGATGTCAGATTGCATCGGAATATGACCACAAGCAGCTCGTGTGCCATTTGTGGAACTCCGGACTCTTGGAAGCATAGTTTGATTGAGTGTACTGCTGCCCGGTGTGTTTGGTCATTGGTGGATCAGGAGCTAATTGATGATCTGCGAAGTAATACTGAAAATGATGCAAAGAAGTGGTTATTCACTATGATCGGAAAACTTTCTCATGACAAGTTCACCAAAGTAGCAGTTACCCTTTGGGCCATATGGTGGGCGAGACGGAAGCTGATCCACGAAGGGTTGCATCAAAGCCCTTTATCCACTTACATGTTCATCACTCATTTCTTATCAGAGTTGGATGTGGAAAAGAATTCAATACCGTCCCGTGTTAACATCCCAGTTACTGCTGCATCAAGGAAATGGATTCCGGCCACTGGTGATACTGCTAAGATCAATGTTGACGCCGCTGTTTTCCGTGGAGTAGGTGCAGCTGCCGCAGTTTGTAGGAACAATAACGGGCACTACTTGAGGTCTTCGGTGCTTGTTACTAGAGGACTGGTTGATCCGCCAACTTTGGAAGCTATGGCGTGCAGAGAAGGATTGTCGCTAGTGGAAGACCTGGGACTCCAGAACATCGTGATTGCGTCCGACTGTCAAGAGGTGGTGAAGCATATCAAAGAGAAGTCAGATGGAAACTATGGTGCAGTTGTAAAAGAGATTATTTCATGGCATTCTTCTTTTACTTCTTGCTGTTTTAAGTTTGAATCTAGAGTCTCGAATTTTGAGCCTCATAAACTAGCTAGGCATGCTGTAAAATTAGATCATGGTCGCCATATTTAGTTGGGGCAACCACATGATACTTTTTTAATACCGGTAGCAATACCAACTTATGAATAAAGCCTAGTTTGTTGCTCAAAAAAAAAAGTTAACGAGCGCTCCTTCGGGAGCCTCGCAACTATCAGCGCCACTTGGCGCGCTCTCAGCCATTCGCCACGTGTCGCGCTCTGGACGCTCCCTTCAGATTTTTTTTTCCGCACGCGTTTTCGGCTTTTTAAACGGTTTTTTTTTTGGTTTTTTCGATGTTTTGGTTTTCCCCCTGTCTTTCTTAGCTTTTTGATCAAAAAAAATTTAAAAAAAAATTTCGCGAAAAAACGCGTTTTCTTCCTTTCACAAAAGTCAAGGTTTTTCTTCCGCGAGAGGCACGGTTGTGCTTTATCGAGAGTCACGGCCGTGCCTTTCGGAAAAGAAAAAAAACACATTTTCTGTTTTTTTTTCTTTCGCGAGAGTCACGGCCGTGCCTCTCGGAAAGGGAAAAACAAAATGTGTTTTCTGTTTTTTTTCCTTTTGTGTGAGTCACGGTTTTGCTTCCGCGAGAGGCACGGTTGTGCTTACGCGAAAGTCACGGTCATGCCTTTCGGAAAAGGGAAAAAATACGTGTTTTCTGTTTTTTTTTTCTTTCGCGAGAGTCATGGTTTTGCTTTCGCGAGAGTCACGGCCGTGCCTCTCAGAAACGAAAAAAACGTGTTTTCTATTTTTTTTTCTTCCACGAGAGTCACGGTTTTGTTTCTACGAGAGACACGGTTGTGATTTCGCGAGAGGCACGGGCGTGCCTCTTTCGGAAAGGGAAAAAATCATGCTCCCGGTTCGGTTTTTTCGCCCGGTTGTTTTCGTCCGTTTTTTCGTGAAAAAAAAGTTCATCAAAACCTATCAACATGGGATCTAGTTTTGAAGATCTCGATGCGAGGAATCCAATGATGAAAACGGTTCGAGATTTGAACGCACGGTTTAAGAGATAAAACGTTTTGAATAAACGGATCTACGAAAAAAGGGAAAACTCCCAGGTTGCGACAAGTGGCACGTTGCATGTGCACCATTTGTCGTGACCTGGGAAAGTGGAGTGTTCTTTGCAACGAGTACTCCTTAATTAGTGATTTCGCGAACGAATACATCGACTTGTAAAGAAAAGCAAATGAACGAACAGATCGAGGCGTGCGGACGAGGTAGGAAGCCTTTTTTCGTGCAGACGACGTATGAAGCCTCTTTTTATTATAAAAAAAGTGAAGAAACAATGCTCCTTTTAATATTAGGTAAAGATAAAGATAGAAATAAAAATAAAGATAAAGATTTATGTTTTGGCCATAACTAGCAAATGTGCTTGTGCATTGCAACGGGAGAAACAAATGCTTGCACGTCCCACCCATTTTGCAACGGGAGAAACAAATGCTTGCACGTCCCACCCGTCCATGTTGTCAATTCTAATCTTTGCTGCCGTCACAAACGATGACCAAGCTATCCATCTATTCAACAATGGTGGGTGGTCAGTTATACAAAACATTTGTAATAATGTGACCAGTTGATGAAATTCTAGTATTCACGCAAAACTTGAAACCTTTGCGAGCGCAAAATGTGATCTCTACGCTAGATATGCGATTGACAAAGAGAGGAAGATGGGGTTCCTTGTATCAGATAAGTTGTCCATAGCCATCCAGGATGCTGACCTCTATTTTGATGGTGACAGCCCGGACGGGCGGAGCCCCGGCCGTAGTTGAAACAGGTGTTTGTCTCTAGCTCCTACACCATGGTTTTCTTGACGTCCAACGTGTTAGAGCCGGACCATAGACACCTACAATTTTTTGTATGTGCGTCATCTTTTTTATAGGAAATTATATGTGTTATATCAATGCACAAAAAAAACTACAAACTATATTAAAAGTGAATAGTTTTTTACAGCATATTAAAAGTGAATAGTTAGTGTGTACATTTGCTCAAGTAGTGGTTTGAGAATTAACATAATCATAATATAATTTTTTAGTCAGTACAATACGAGAAAATCATGTATCGTCGGGACACACTACGCTGATTCGAATCCTTCCACACAAATCCTCGCCTTCATTAATTAATTTAATTAATTCACTAATTTAATCAAGGCGTCCTCATGCATGTTCCAGGAATCCCTCTCCATCTTCCATTAATTAATAGACCCCCTTAATTAACTCTAATCAGCTTGGTGGCTTGGAGGTACCCAATTTAAGAGAGTTTAACATGGCTTTGTTAGCCTCTTGGGCTAAAAGATACTTCATGAATCAGGATAAAGATTGGGTGATATTGATAGATTATAAATATAAAACTAATAAACCTAATTTGTTGTGGGCTAAACAGGATGTGGGTTCGCCCTTTTGGAAAGGGGTTACCTAGCCCTTTGAAGGCATAAGACCTTTTTTAGATGGAATTTGGATAATGGTGATAAGTCAGCTTCTGGGATAACACCTGGGTGAGGGATTCTTCCTTGAAAACTCAATTTTGGGGGGTTTATGAGATTTGTCAACAGCAACAATGTGTAGTGTCTGAGGTGTGGGATCGTACCAACCTAAAGCTCACCTTTAGTAGATGTGTAGATGCTGAATTTATGAAAAAATGGCACGACCTGATTCAGGTCATCTCTACGAAACAACTGACCAATGAGGAGGATCACCCTGTTTGGCTGTTGGAACCATTAGGGATCTACTCGGTCAGATCCTTTTACAACATGATTAACTGGGGTGGGGTCTCTACCCCACTTTAGAAAAAATTCTGGAAAATTGTTGTACCAAACATATACTTGGTCTTTGTGTGGTTGGCTTTTAATAATAAAGTTCTCACCTGAGACAACCTAAACAAGAGGAGGGTGGTAGAGAATTTAAACTGCTTATTTTGTAATGAGAATGAATCAGTTCATCACCTGTTCTTTGAGTGTGTGGTGGCCAAACAGATCTGGATTGATGTTGTTGAAGTTTTTGGATTCAATATTCCTAAAAATATGACTGGGTTATCTTCATTCTGGGAAATGAACAACAAGAAAACTGTTATTAACATTGCTTGTGTTGCTGCCATTTGGGGCATTTGGATTATGCATAATGATATTTGTTTTCAGGGCATACCGTGGACAAGCACTCGTGCGATCTTGGAGAGGATCAACTTTTCTCGACACCAGTGGAAGATTCTCTGCGGAGGCGATCAATCAGTGCTGCTACGACGCTGCCTCCAGCTTCTGGACCGTTGAAGAGGCGAGTTGCTCAGGATCGCCTGGGTTGGGAACTGAGAGCGTGTGCAAAGAGGACCGGGGGTGGAAACATGCTGAAAGCTCATTCCGGATGATCTCGCGAGCAAGCTGGTGGTTGTTCTATTCTCTGAGGAACATTCTGTATTGCTTGGCTGGTGGTTTCGGTGTTTGCCCTGCGTGGCACTAGACTCTCGCTTAGCAGTTTCTTGTTTCAGTTTTTCGGGCTAGCGCTTTAAGATGTAGAGTTGCATTTCTATTCTCTGGTCGACCACTTCCTGTAGACCCGATTGCTTGTAACAGTCACCGTGACTTGCTTTCCCCGTTTTCTATAAAAGTGGGGTGGGGGAAAACCCCTTTTGATAAAAAAAAATTGAAAAAAAAATCCGAAATATAAGGTTATTGTGTTACACCACTCGTTTGAATAATTTTTTTAGGGATTTGATTACATTTTCTTATATCAGACAGGCTTTTCTATTTTCTCAATTAGTCATGTGTAATTTCATCCAAAACTTGTGAAATTTTTTCTTCATATGCGTTCTTTAATTTCCGTGCCAAAAACTATACATCCTATATTTAGAAACGGAGGAATAAGGATGAGTGGTGTCAGTGTGTAAAATTTCAGGGAAATATGTTGAAATGTGAACTGTGCAAAATAATAGTACAAATCCATGCTCTGCGAGGACGAATAATATCATGTGTTAAAAAGCCTCAGTTTTTTGTTTCACGGCCCTCATTTCAACATATTTCATCCTAAAAATTTACACACTTGTGCCGCCTTCATCTATATCTGTATTTTTTTCAGAATTTTTTAAAATGTGAAAATATGACTTTCACGAATTTTGAATTTTGCATGTGGAGGCCTTCATGGAGCTTGGCCTCCAAAAGCAATTTCCTGCTTCAACTTTCTTATAATTTCGTACTGCTTAGTTAAAGCATATTTTTATTTCGCTACAACAATTTTGGAAAAAGCATCAACCATTCAGTTCAAGCTTAGGCCTTCAGCATTACAGCAAGGGCCAACACCACAATAACAGCAGTAAAATCCAGTGAACCTACTCCATTTCATCGACAGACCGAGCACATAACAAAACTAAGCAACAGATACTCCAGACAGAGCACATAACGAAACTAAGCAACAGATACTCCACTAGGAAGCACATCAGCAGAGCGAAAGACATGACAGGCAGGTTGTTCTCTGTTTCCAGCACACATATCTACAAACAAGGCGGCACATCAGCGGGGACTGACAGGGTATGCAAGCTTCTGATCTCGTCAGGCCCCAATACCACCGGCTGCGGCGAAGACTGCTTCAGACCCTACTTGCTCTTGCTGCTCTTCGCCCGGAGCTCCGCGGCTCCAGCCTTGATGCTGGACTTGGCGAGCGACGTGGGTTTCAGGACGCTCTTCGGGTTCAATGCCTGCCGGAGCTTGAACACAGCCCACGCCGTTCCGATGGCGTGGCCTGCCGCATCGAGCCCTTCGTTGGTTGCCGCAGCAGCTTTCTCTCCGTACCTGACGAACAAAGAAGAAGGATGGTGTGAGGGGAAGTGCTCCATGTTCTGGTCCAAGAACCAAGAGGGAGTAGAAACAAGGATATGAGGTAGAATAACACGTACTTGTGGGATACAAGACCGGTCGTCACCGTCGACGATGTTGATAGCACATCCTTCCCAGCCACTTCTACGGCGTCAGAAATCTTGCCTGTTGACACCAGTGAAATATACATAAGCGGGCTGGCATAATCAAACACCAGAAGAAAGTAAGTTCCCCTGTTATTTTCAAGAATGATGTTCAGGCACACAGAAATTCCATACAACTAAAAGTTAGAAACAACTGAGCAGATTATTTGATAGAAACTATTTTGCAAGAGCAAGTGCAGATCACAATGTGCTCCTAGGAGATCATGTTATCACTTACAAGATTCACATAAATGTTTCATGAGAGCCGGCATCCCTAATATTCAGATTTAAGGAGCCCCAAATATTCAGATTTAAGGAAGTATAGTGGCAGTTGGCAACAGAGTTCACTCCAATATACTGAGGCAAGTTCAACTAGCATATAGAGTAAACAATAGCCATTTTCACTGTATAGAACTTGATGGCATCACCACTGGGTGTCTGTACTATAAGTAATCGCTGCCAGTGATTTCGCTATGAATATGGTGCCAGTAGCTGATAGCTCAACTAACGTTCACAACCTTTTTGCGAAGAGAAGCAGCAGTAATTAACCATTTTTGATGTAGGACTGAAGCAAGACATAATGTGTATAACATAGAGAATAGAGGGTACAAGGAAAAAGATAATTGCCAACCGATTTACTCCCCTTCCTAATTGTAGAGTACCAGGGGTTAAATGGCCACTAAAGGACACCCACAGGCTGCTTACTTTCAACTAGTAAAACTTAGTGATGTTTCTACACTTCTGTAGGCAAGTTCAAATTAAATGTGCCCGTATGGTATATTGTTCATGTTTCATGGTATAGTGAAAGTTGGCATCTTTTTCATGATTCACATGGCAACTACCTTACCAACAGCACAAGATGTACTACCACCAATACTAACTTAGGTCACATTATTTTCAAGAAAAGGATCACATACCAAATCCATCAAGTGAAGCAAGAATAACCTCTCCAGGCAATAGGCTGAAGAACTTCTTGCCAGCTTTTGAGTTAACCAATGAGCTTGTAACAGAGCTAGTAAGCTTCACAACTCCAGACAGTATTCCAGTTGCCACTTTCTCGGACATTTTTGTCACCTTCTTAGCCCTGCCAACAATCACATGCACATATTCTTTCAGACCGACAGTACCAGAAATATGAGTATTTGACTGAAATTACGTATTCTCAAATTGTGTAATTAAGCACAAGGAAGCCTAAAAACATAAAAGCAGAGCAACGCCAGAAATCTCAAAATAAGGAGCACAAGTTTAAGTCCAGTTGCAAAATTCACCAAAATGCAGCTGCCTACAATCACAGAGCCTTTTGACATGAGTGCTTGTGATTCTTCCTATATGATATAATATGCAATCACGGCATCAAGCCATAGCTATAATTCACCAATCACCATCAGAACAGGACTAACCAGCCAAGTTTGACATAGCACCAGGGAACGGGATGCCAAACAGCAAGTGTCAGCACAATTGCATGAATAATTTGGGGAGATTATCCATAATAATCATAAAGATTTTTGACACAACTGAAATATCAGCAAATGGAAATGAGATACCGATGATGGCACATGGCATCACGATTTAAACTACTAATCTAATCTAACTATGAAGTGCGACATGCTCAAAGCCTGAAGAATTTCCTCCTACAGCACAAATTCTACTGAACTGTGACTGCAAATCAAAAACACATTTGGTATGAAAAATCTAAGAAAAACAGTGCTACCTTTGAATGGAAATGAGATACCCATCATGGCAGATTGCATCACGATTTAAGCTACTAATCTAATCTAACTATGAACTGTGATGTGCCCAAAATCTGAAGCATTTACTCATTATGCATCACAAATTGCACTGAATAAATTCGCATGACTGCAAATTAGAAACAGATTCAGTATGAAGAACTGAGAAAGAAAGCACTACCTTTTGATCCGCCTGAGCATCTCCGGACTGACCTCGGCCTCGGTATCGCCGGGCTGAATCCTCTTCCTGAGAACCTCCTGCCCCCACCGGAGCCTGTCGACGGTCATCACCCCGCACCACAGGATCCCCTTGGCGACGTTCTCGGCGCCGGACGCGATGGCCCTGGCGACGGCGCTGCCGTACTCCTCGACGTTGGGCGCGACGGCGGTCCAGTACGCGGCGGCCTCCACCTCGCCGCGCACCCCGTCGGCGAGCCCCTCGCTGCCGGCCACGGAGTGGGCGGAGAACCTGGTGTAGGCGCCGAGCAGGGCGTCGAGGCGCGGGTCGGGGGCGGAGAGCGTGAGGCCGTAGTGGAGCGGCTCGGGGGCCGGGTCGTCGGCGGAGGCGGGGACGGCGAAGGAGAAGGAGTAGTGGCGCGGGTCGAGCTTGACGGCGGCGACGTCGCGGGCGAGCGGCCACTGGACGGGTCCCAGGGCCGCGATGGCGGCGAGGGAGGTGTCGCCGGCGCGGATGCGGTGGAGGGAGAGGTCGCCGGCGGCCAGCGGGTGGCTGCGCTGGCGGTCGATTAGGTGGAGCTGCGCGCCGGGGGCGCGCAGCAGCACGTCGTCCGACGGCGCCGGCGCGTCGGGGGAGGCCGGGGACCGCGG